ACCGGCTGAGATGGACTGAACTCGTAACTTGGGGACAACTGTATCATTAATTCCGCGATCGAACACTCCGTACGTGCCACTGGATTCGCCTATCAAGCTCCAAGCTGCAATAAGATAGTGTCTTTAACACACCACAAGCTGATGTGCTGCAAGTGAGTGGAAATGCTGGCTGCATTGCTTTTGACAGGATGTCGATGTTTTTAAAGTATCTTGCGGTGCTTAGCATTAGTCTACAAGCAACAAGCAGCGACTATGCTGTAAATATGCTCTTAGCCAAGTCCGATTACTATGTTCGGTAGCCCATACCGTATTTTCGATTGTCCGTTGTGATTATCAATTGGTCTTTTATATCGTCGGAAAGTTCCGACACACTGAAACATGCTGTGTTGGACATCGCGCCCGGCTAGGCCTGGTCATGCTTCGGCAGTTGCCCCATGTAAGGCGTTGATCAACAGGCATGGTTGGTATAGGGCTTTGTCCCGAGTGCTTCAGCGGGGTTTCGATAGTATCAGGCCACCCTTGATGCCTCTGATGTGGTGCCTGAGCGATGTGGTGATAAAAAGGTTGACCCAAAGGACTCCTCATCCAGAGCTGGCCTCATCGTTCTACTGTCGCTTGCTATTCCCTGTACATTCGTCATATTCTCTTCTTGAACGCAGCGCGTTCGATAAGACTGCCGGCAGTCTGTTCCAATCTTTCGACTCTTATTGCTATTCTTACTCCTTCACACAAGCGATCATATTGTTACCAAGATGGGTTTCGGTATTCTGGAAGATCGCCACATGGCCGCACCTCCGGGTACGTCTACTATCAACGAGTCTGGGCCTTCTCTAGACTCTAAGATAGACTCGAGCGAACTCAAACGCGATGGCGACATTATTCTGCAGCCACAACCTTCAAGCAGCCCCAATGACCCGCTCAATTGGTCACCTAGAAGGAAAGAGTGTATAATGATTCTTCTCGCTTTTAGTTCAGGTGTCACTACATCCCTTGGACCGATGGTGACGCCTGCGCTTCCCCTCATTGCTATGAAATACAAGGTCAACATCGACATGGTAGCGAGTCTTGTCATTGGATTCCTTGCCTTCTGGATCGGGTTCACTACATTCTTCACAGCTGCTGGAGCCAATATCTGGGGCAAGCGTCCATTCTTCATCATATCCACCGTGATCCTTCTTGCAACAAATGTCTGGGGTTTTTTCACAAGGGTGCGTACTAGAAGACGAGCTAGATCGTTCTCCATTGACGAGTAGTAGTCCTTCATCTCTCTCGCTGTCATGCGAGTTGTTCAGGGTATCGCCTCAGCACCTCTCGAGACACTTGTTACCTCCACAGTCTCCGATATGTACTTTGTGCACCAACGCGGTACACGTATCGCAGTTTGGGGCTGTATGCTGGCTTCTGGCGTTCTTCTTGGGTATGTATATCTGTATCTCGTTCCTTGAGTGAATGTACTGATCCACAACCAGACAAACAATCGCCGGTGCCATCATCCAGAACATCTCTTTCGAAGCGACTTTTGGTATCTCCGCTTTGATATTTATCCCCATCTTGTTCGGCATGTACTTCTTCGTCGTTGAGACCACTTACTATGGCCCCCGGCCCACCATGGACAAGCTCGGAGTTGATGAGAAACACAAGTCTGTTTTCGAGCTCGAAGACGACAGGGAGCCTTATAGAAGCCAGCTGGCAATTTTCCGTGGCCGCTTATCACAAGAGTCGTTCTGGAAGAACGCCTGGAAGCCAGTGCCACTTATTGCTTTCCCGGCAGTACTCTTCAGTACAATCGTTTACGGATCTTACTTTGTATGTCAAGTTTTCAGATTGCTCGCAAATCATGTACTGATTCTGTTCTCAGACCTGGCTGCTTACTATCTCCGTCCTCTCCGTCAATATCTTCTCTGCACCACCGTACTCGCTGAACCCGGCACAAGTCGGTCTTACTAACCTGCCTCTCCTTGTCGTCGCACTGATCGGCTCACCTCTCTCTGGCTGGACAGCCGACGCCCTCGCCAAATTCATGGCACGTCGCAATCACGGCGTTTTCGAACCGGAATTTCGTCTGACGCTTATGATCCCCGCGACCATCTTCGCTACCATTGGCTTTCTGGGCTTCGGCATGAGCGTCTCAGCTGGCTATCCCATTGTCTGGCCCTTGGTCTTCATGTCCATCCACTCGCTTTCCGTACCGTTCGCCTCAACAGCCAGTCTGACCTATGTAATCGATTGCCATCCCAAAGACGCGAACCAGGCTTTTGTGACAATCAATTTTACAAAAGCAGTGTTTACTTTCATTGCGACAACATATGCTAACGGCATCATGGCGAATATTGGGCCTCGCGCCGTCTTCGACGGAATCACCGTTATCAATCTGGGGATCTGCGCGCTTACCATTCCAGCGTACATATTCGGAAAGAGGTTTAGAAGTTTGGTTGCGCGAAGCTCGTTTGGTAAGAAGCTATCAGGCTAGAGGTTGGGAGGCGTGAGTCATTACTATGACGACGGAGACATGGCTCTGGAGAGATGGCTATGCAAGGCGCATATTTATGGATACCCACAGCCGTTATAGGCTTGAAAATTACATTCGCGATGAGTTCTGATATGAAGGCTAAGCTCCATACCACCTGGGCATGTTAAGCCATGATGAGTCGATCAAAGAACAAGACAGGTGATGAGGATACGTGTCGAGACCTGAGAGATTCATGGTGTACTTCCACCTAGTGTGTATCAAAGAGAGCTACACGCTGTAATGACAAAACAACAGTAGATGAATATCTTGAATTGAAGGAGACTCGTGGGTATCGTTGATCTATAACAATGGGCATCACCCTGTGGCGCCCAAAACGCCGTTTACGACTTTTGCAGTACTTTTCGCAACCATCTCAGATATTTCCTGCCGTGAACGGATGCGCACAAACTGCGTCGCATGATGTTCTAGCACGGAATTTCTGCCTCTAAGATGCCTCTAAATAACATCGCTGTCTTCCTCGTCGCGCAACTGACAACCGGTGTCATAATGCGCGGCACACACCCCTCCGCTCAGGTTTCAGCAAACTTCATCTGCATGATGCATGCGAAGCTGGCATCTCAGCGAATGCGCTGAGCTTGACTCGGTGATTCGTAGATATGGTGCACTAGCACAGCCTTTGTTTACCCGGAAAGGACAATACATTGATGCGCATCAGTTTGTCACTCTCCGTGCACTGCCTTGAGCCTCTCTAGCACTGGGTCTTTGCGATAACATCTGCGCCATCGACTGTGAAGCATTCGAGGAGGAGGTCGTGTATCGCGGGCTCAACGGTGACGTTAGACTTGCTCTCCTCGATGTCGAAATGGTGATGGGCGATGGCGTAGATGCAGCGTTCTTAAGGAAAACACGCGCAGGTGGAAATTGGCTGACTGGCGGCATTGTGGTTGTGTAGGTAAAGTTGTCGGTTGACTTGTTCGTATAGTATCGACTGTTAGACGACGAATATAGGTGGTGACAGTATTAGGGTGTTAGAAGCGAGGCTTGTTGATCGATGTCGATGATATAGTAGTAAGACGTAGAGTTATACGGTCTTTGATGCCTCCTTCTAGTTGATGGATCGTCCGTTAAAAGCCTCATTACCAGCAGCTGCCGACCATCTTATATCCCTCACCCAGCCCAATTTGACTCACCTTGCTAGACCCAAACTAAGCCTCTACCCTCGGAGTCACAAGCAAGCCGCCCAACCCACCCATCCACGCAACCATCTAGCGCGCGTGCCCCAAACTCCGCCCGCGCCATGACATGTGAAGCCTTTTCCGTTTCGAGCCAAGATCACCCCACGACATCGTGAGCATCACGTCTTGCACATGCGGATCCGGACCCCATCGGCGGATAATTCTCGTTGGACGGAGACAAATACGATCAACTCAGTCCAAACGTTATGCACGCGATCGTGGGTTACTCCACGCCCAGTAGCTCCCGTTACCCCGGATGGTTTTCCGTGTGCGACCACTGTGCAACGGTCACTGCGAGCCGACCCTCCACTCCAAACGACCGGAAAAGCAAAAAAGAAAAAGGCCCGAGATTCGCAGTCGCATGCACATGTTGTGCATGCACCTGTAGCTTACACACCTACACATGTCGAGCAGCAGCCAAGGCGCCCAGGTGTGTGGTGGCAGTTGATGCGTGTTTGAACTTTGTATGGTAATGGTGTGCGTGCTTGTTTGGAGACGGAAGGCTGCGACACGTCATGCACGCAGCCTAAAGTGCGGGGTGGGCTTCCGCTGGGCTCTTGTAAAACAATGTGCTAGGTTGAATGGCTTCTAGTAGGCTTCCACCCAGAGTCTTGTGGACTTCAGCCTAAGACGGAGGATATGATGCAAGGTAGATCTCCGAGGTCGGGGAAATATCTATCTATCTCGATACGAGAGATGCTATTATGAGCTGAGTAAGTTCTCAAATTACATGCAGGACACATGCGACGAGATCGCGATGCGGGGCAGCTGTTAGATCACAAACAGGCTGAGCGAACGGTGTGGGATCTGCTCTACAACATTCCTTTTGCGCCTTGCACTAGCGTGGAGATAGAGAGGCGTAGGTCACGGCGCAATACATGTGTACTGCGGATGCAACTGCAGAGCAATGCATATGAGAAGCGAGTGTTCCGTCCGCGGGTATGAGGGCGCGAGAGTTACCTGTGAGCTCAGCGTCCCGTCATTCTTGCGGTGTAGCAGGTGTTTTGCTGGCTGCATCCACGACGCATGCTGAAGTGTATGGTGAACGATTCGATGTCAGAAGAATAGTGACATTTCTTTTTCCTAGTATACAAGATCGGCCAACTTTTAGACGTCGCAATATAGTACATCCAAATCGTTATCCAAGCCTCCTGCGTACAACACAGTGACGTATCTTCCAACGTCCAACTGCGTTCGAGTCTAGGATATGCAAGCATACCCACATCCCGCGCATGCTAACATGTTGTTCATATTACCCAGTTGTCCCAACAGATTTGACCTTGAACTCAGGGTGTCTAAGCTCGGGGCTTCGCACCGCTGCGGACGCGCTTGGCTTCTGGGCGCTGGAGGTGGGAGGCGGGGATCCAGCTCTCATCGTAGGCCTTTGCACCTGAAGTAACAGCGGGGCCATCAGCGCCGACGACAGCAACCTGGTCGGTGGGATCGACCTTCTTGCTCTGGCCTGAGGACATCTTAGCGCGCTCGCCACCCTTGCCGCGGCCCTTCTTCTGGGGAAAGAAGGTAGAGATCCAGGTGTTGTAGACAAAGTAGACAGTTCCACCGAACGCGCCGAGGAGAACGAGGTATAGGAAGATACTGGAGCAAAGAAGTAAGTACACGTGCTGAAAATAACAGGGCGCTCCACGAGCGTGCGCAGGGTAAAGAGTGCCTTGGTACATACATCTGAGGGTCGAAGAAGCTGGTAGGTGCCTCAACAATGCTGACAGTCTCGTTGTAGACCGGAACGGTGATGAGGTTATTCTTGCTATCCTTCAGCACAGTCACGAGCTGAAGACGAAGGTTCTGAGGGTGCATTTCTGTCGTGAAGCTGTAAGGAATTGTCTCGTTGGCGCCAGCAGGAATTTGGATCGAGTAGCGCTGGCGGGTGAGGTTGCGAAGGATCTGGGATTGTCCTGCAACTTCCTGGATCAGCGAGCCGCCGACAATGGTGACGCCGACAGGAGCGGGCTCATTGTTAACCACGGACAGACGCGCCTGCGTGGGCTGGCCGTTGATGAGCTTGACGCCAAAGATCTCAGACTGGGGGAAGGACACGGAGACGGCGACATTGAGATTGGGTGTTTGAGGCTCGTCGACTGCTTGCTTCTCAGCCTGAGAGTACAACTGTTAGCCATCTGATGTCATGCTGCGTCAGGAAGTTCCGAGCTTACTGCGGGCTCAGCAACGGTGCCGAGAGCTCGTAGGGAGAGCAAGAGTAGAGATGAAAACTTCCAATTGACCATGATGAAGGCGAACCAAGACGATGAGATGGGAGAAGAAGAGGAGAGAGGGCGTGTGGGAACAGATGGGGTAATTCGAACGTGGCTTCTGGGAAGTGACGTCCGGGCGCAGCTTCCTCTTGGCGTCGGGGCACGGAACCAGGGCCGCGGCAATGCGAACCTATTCTCCAGGGACGCCTCGCCTTCACCACCTCACGCGACAGTCTGATGTTGCCGACTCCCTGTGTGCTGCACCTTGTTGCGTACTGCTATTTGTATGACCATGATCTATTGCTTCACTGCTCTCCCTGGCCGCCTTTCCCAATATAGACTCGTCCAATTCTACGCGCTGGGTCGTGTTACACATGGCATGGCATCCACGCCGCAATTGTGGCTCGGTCAATTACAAAGGCAGCAGCGACCATTCATCTGCAGCTTGATATGCTTATTTGCTCTGATCGCATATACGCCGCTCCGCGTCGAGTAGCCTCCCGCCGGCATTGCCCATTCCACCTGTTTGCATTGCACTATAAAATGGCAGACTGACATCTTCTCTCGTCTTCATTGCCTCAGGTCATCGAACAGTAACTCACCGTCACCAACGGTTGCCTATTTGAGCCTGGCACTTTCCCTGTGAACCCTGGAAGGAGCGCTCAACTGTTCCCACAACCTCTTCTTTCTCACTCTAATTCCTCTCCTCTCGCCCATTATACACGAGAGCCTCCATCAGCTCTACCCTACAAGGCTTTCGCTCAATCCGGTGCCTTTCTTCTGAGCACTCACCAGTCGCTATTAGCTCAAGTTTGCCCGCTTGCGTTCCGAGATGCCGCCTTCGCTCAATGGCCATGGGCCTGCTAGCCCTGCTTCATTTGGCTTCTCAGACGCTGACCTAACAGCCTTCACCAGGCGTTTCGAGCATTTTCAACAGTTTGAAGAGGAAAAGACGCAGTTTTTAGCAGTAGGTTTGACAGGAAATACGTCTGTCCACCCGAGGTGAACTGACTCACCCTAAAGGAGATTGTTACTCGTTACGAATACATTTATCAGCAGTACCAGGCATTAGCAATCGAACGCGAACGCGACCGCGTATGGGTTACTGCATGGAAAAACGAGAAGGTGCAGTACGAAAAGAAGCACAATCACATGCTGCGAGAGATGGTAATTCACCCCAATACACATCCTCGACAACGACTCCAACAGCAAGCGAGACAACTTGCTACTTGAGTATGGAGAAGAAGCTGAAACTAAGTACCTAGTCCGATAACTCATTCGTCACAGTACTCATTGACGGCGATGGCATGATTGTAGGGCTCTTCGGCCTGCGCTTTGATGACGGGTTTGCTAACCAAAAGCCTAGTTTTGTGACAAATATCTTGGTGACGGTGAACAAGGTGGCCGTCGCGCTGCTTTAGATCTCTCCGCTGCCGTCCAGGAATACGTTGACAACGACTGTAACGATATCCCCTACGGAGCCCGTATCGTCTGCCGCATCTATGCGAGCGTGCGGGGCCTCGGCGACGTGCTTGTACGCAAAGGAGTCTACCAAGATCCCTCGGAGTTTGAAAAGTTTGTGCGCGGCTTTACACGGGGCAAAACGCTGTTTGACTTCATCGATGTTGGCGCGGGAAAAGACCGTGCTGACGAAAAGATCATAGGTGAGAGACTCCGAAGTTGCTGCTCTCAATAAATCTTAGCAAAACCTCCAGCCCATACTAAACTTCGCAGAATCATGCAAGCTATACAGCCATGACTATCATTGCCGGCGGATTCTCTTCGGTTGCTCGCACGACAACGGTTACGCGCGGATGCTAGAGGAATGCTCTGATCGTCCTGAGCTGGTCAATAAGATCATTCTTCTTGAAGGCGTCCCGTTTGAGAAGGAGCTCGTGAATTTGCCATATGACACGAAGAAATTTCCTGGGATCTTCCGCGATACAAAGATCGTGTTTTGGGGGGCTCCTATATATAGTGGCGGTCTTCCACCAGCATTTGTTCCCGCCCGCAGGGTCGATTCGAATGACAGCTCGAAGGCATCTGTATCATCGACAGGCCTGCCTACCCGGTTCCCACCTCCAGCAAAATCTCCAGTCATGGATAGCCCTCTGCCGAGCCGGGCTACGATGATGGGACTGCCTAGAACGCCATCAACATCGACACTGGCCTCGGACGGCATGGTTGCAGCAACCAAGCCAGTGCTGCCGATGAACTGGGCTGCCAAGGTCGCTGCTCCACCGCCTCCTATCAACCACTCGTCTCCCACATACAAACCGGCTAATCGCGAGGAAGTCATCGCTCGCAATCGCGCCGGTCAACGCATCGACCCACCATGTAAGGACTACGACAAGATCGAAGTGGACCGCGTCAAGAAGATAAAGATGTGCAACGTCCATTTCCTCCGGAACGAGTGCCCTTACGAAAAGAACTGCACGCACCTCCACGCCTACAAGCCCACTGAAAGCGAGGTGGCTACCCTCCGTCTCGTCGCTCGCATGGCACCTTGCAGCAACGGTAGCGGTTGCCAGGTAAGTTGGGGCTGTACAAAATGCATGTGGCATATGCAACTGACCTTGTGTTTTCACCTCTACAGGATATTAGGTGTATCTATGGCCACTGTTGCCCGGCGCCCCACAAAACCCATCATATCAAGGGCACGAAGAACTGCATTTTCGGCGACTCGTGCAAGTTCCCGATTGAGCTGCACGACATCGACACCAACGTGGTCAAGACGCTGGTTGTTCGCTAGGATGAGCATGGTAAGATTCGATGTCTGGGGGACAGAATGATGAAATCGAATTGTCGTAGATAAGCACGCAAACGGGAGGTACCTAGCAGAAGTTCGCATCTAGGAATATCTCATGGGATTCGTTAGACTAGGAAACCACGATTATGCTAACTGACACGTACGTTCAACGACCCTACAAGTGTGAGATCTGAAGTGTGTTTTTTACGATATGGTTCTGAAAAGCACAACCTGGGGGGGTTAGAACGCCCAATGCACATGTACAAGTGTCAAGAGACACTCGTAGAGGCGTCGATTATATATTGCACATCGGCATTTACCAATACGACAAGGATCTAGTCTCTAGATGTATCTTAGAAGATGAGCACAAGTACATGCTCATTCCCTCTTCCAGTCCTCAAACTCCTCATTCAGGTGTTGTTTCAGCGTTGGGAACTTGTTCTTGAAGTTCTTAGAACATCGCCAGCACTTCATATCCCAGCTGGGCCAATCACCAGGTGCAAACCTCTCGCTTCCTTCCTCTAGTGGAAACTCGTCTAGTCGAACAAGGAAACTAGAATTGAAGCTCAAGTAGTGCTTCTTATGTTTCATCCAGTCTGAATGCATGTCTCGACTGAAGATATGAATGTGCAGGTGATTCATCGAGGGATGGGTGTGCACGCCTACGACGATGTCTTTGGACCAGTCCCGACCGGGTGGGAGGAGGGAAGCTTGTTTTTCCACTGGTGGTGGGTTGCGAGAGCACATCATTTCTTCCAGAGCCTCGTTGTAGGGTTTGTCCGTGGTGCTAACGTCGCCATACTGACGTCGGAGTTCGTAGGCAGCGAGATCCTTGAGTCGGATGACGCGTTTCTCTACTTCGGCAAGGAAGGCGGCGTCTGTGGACAGCGCGTGGAGAGGATGTTGATCGTAATATTTGGGTTTTCGTGGAATGAGTAGCAGGTGTACACTGAGATACTGTCAGCGCACTGGTTGCTTTGGCCTTGTACTGCATGGATACTCACCTCGCTTTTGGGTACTTGTCTGTTATCACGACAAAGTCCTCGTCGTACTCTAGTACTTTGTTCTCCGGGTTGGTCTCGGGACTCTCGATGTATACGCCCAATCCATTCCGCGGGTCCCAGCGCTTGACTGTCTTCGTGGCCTTCTCTACAAGGCCTGGGCCGTCTGCGGCGGGTATGGCAGGGGGGTTTGGTTTTTTCGTCTGTGACATAAGTTCTGTAACTGCACCGTGAGTTAAGGTTGCGCTATGGGTTGGAAGACATGGAGTACGACGTACATGCATTGGGGCGTTTCGACGAGCCTGGAGCGACTGCAGGTTGAGGTTGATTCGGCGTCTCAGCGCCTGCTATCTCTTCCTTTGTCATTGCATCGTGGGTATGCTTCGCGGCAGCCTGATTGGTCATTGCTGACCCGATGCGACTTCTCGGAATGTGCGAGGATCTGGTGTGCTTATATCGAACTTGTATGCAAGGAATGCGAAACACGAAGGCCGAATTGAAGCCCGAAGCGAGTTGGCGCATCGATACCGACGAGTGAGCGCAACGTGACGATGACGATGAGGCTCTGATGCGATGGTCCAAGCGTACCGAGGCATCCCTGCAATCATCGGAATTTCGGATTGCGCATCGCAATCAAGGGAAAGGTCCAAGAGCTCACGATGGCTACCATTACAGCTTCTGTTTTCGCGCTTGAATACCCCGAAGAGTGGTGGATTATCAGACATAGTGGCTAAACCCTTTTATTAGAGACGGCGCCCTTTTCACCGCCCACAGGCAAAACAGATAATCCAATCTTTACCCTTCCGAGTCCAGCATACCTCTATGGAGGCTGAGAGATCTGGTCGCTTTATACATATCGTGAAAGATGCCAAAGAACGCCCATCCGCCCCGTGGCAAGCTTGCCAAGAAGACTGTACCTCCTGAGGAAGACACATCATTCATCGTCTTTGGGGACGGCAAAGCCAAGAAGAAGAAGGGGGAGAGTTCTGGGGGTGATGCTGGCCAGAACGAAGGCAAGGGCAAAGGAAAGGCTGCTGCTGGAGCCGCCGAAGTTGGACCAAAGAAGCCGGATACGAGGACTTTGATCGCAGGCGCATCGTGGACAGGAAAGCTCCCAGTCAATCTGCTGTCGGAACATTTTCAGAAGCAGCAGTGGAGCAAACCTGACTACCGTATCGTGAGTTGCGGCGCCAAATTAGTAGTAGGGCTTTACTGATGTTCGGCAGCGCAAAGATGGTGACCAGCATTTCGCGTATGCTGTGGTACTGTCCAAGATGAATCAGAAGACACGGGAGACGACCACCCTACCCCCCATCAAAATCCCCTCTGACCTCGAGGAACAGGCTCACCAGCCTACCGCCGTTGAAGCCCGCAACTTTGCCGCGGCCTATACCCTCTTTCGAGTTGCCAGCGCGAAGAACCTCCACATGATGCTCCCCCCAACGTACAAAGATCTTTGGAAGGGACAGTTCATGGACCTCAAAAAGAGGGACGAGCAGGAGGGAAAGGGATGGATGTATGAGGCAGACCCCTTCTTCGGATTCACAGAGCGGGAGAAGGCGAAGGAGGCAGCGACGAAGGCGCGTGAGAAGAGACAGAAGCAACAGGCAGAGTCGCAGAAGGCCCATAACCAACAGCCTGGTGCGGCCATGCCAAACTCCAACGGCCCGACCCCCAGCAGGAACCTGCTGAAGGGATGGGAGAGGGTACCCAAGATTGAGTTGGGTAAGAGGACGCGAAAAGAAGCAGAGCGTTTGATCCGCCGGGACGCACTGTGGAACCCGAACGGTATCGAGATGGACACATCTATCAAAAATCGACTAGTCGACGAGATAGAGGAGCTTGGCTTCCGAAGGAGTCATGTCCAAGAAGCTGCCGATATCTGCAAAGACCGAGAAGAGATCATCGAGTGGCTCCTCATCCATGTGCCTGAGGATGACCTGCCATCGTGGTCATTACCAGAAGGCTATGTGGCTGGCGTCAGCATGGCTAGCTCCAATCTCAAGCGTGAAGGTGCTGTAAAACGCCTTGCTGCTGCCGGATATTCTGCAGATCTCTGCGAGGAGGCTTACGACAGCCAAGGCAGCGATGAAAGGAAAGCTGCAGCTTTGCTACAAGCCCGTCTGCTGCGACCGGACGAGGAGGACAGCATTATCGCACAGGACCTGGCTGATCTTTCGATGACGGATGGTGATCCTGATATGTCCCCCGAAGACGATCCCTGGGAAGTGGAAATGTCATCTCTTGAAGCCATATACGACCGTCTGTTCTCACGTCCTGCTCCAGAATCGTGTCGAATCGAGCTAGATGTTAAGCAACAGGGAAAGAGGCTCATACTGCAGGTCAGGAAGCCTTTCGGTCCTTACCCCGCCGTTGTCCCTATCATTACTTTTGAAGCGGCGATTCCAGCTTACATCCGCTTGAGCATCATCCGACAAGCGCTGTTACACGCCGAGGCCAACTTCGTTGGTATGCCCATGATTTACGATATCGTAGATTGGATCCAATCGAACGCTGGGGATATCTTCCAGAACCCAGGGAAACTGACCGATGTATCATCTGGCCTTGCGGCAGCAGATCATTCGTCGGAACAGCAAAGCCAGAAGAGAAGAGCAAAAGGCAGGCCCAGAAAGCCCATAGACTGGACACCCAGAACACCCACTAGTCAAAAGCTGCTATCTGACTGGCAGGCCAAGCAGAATTCTCCAGTTCAGCAAAAGATGATGAAAGCTCGACAGTCACTCCCAGCTTGGAGGTTGAGAGATGACATCGTACGAACGGTCAATGATTGCAACGTCACGATTATCTCAGGTGAAACTGGATCAGGAAAATCGACTCAATCTGTGCAGTTCGTCCTCGATGACTTGATTCAACGACAACTCGGTGCTGTTGCGAATATAATCTGTACTCAACCACGCAGAATATCTGCGCTTGGTCTTGCCGATCGTGTGGCTGATGAGCGATGCTCTCAGGTTGGAGATGAGATTGGTTACACTATTCGTGGAGAGTCTAAACAGAAGCCTGGAGTCACTAAGATCACATTCGTCACAACTGGTGTTCTTCTGAGGCGCCTCCAAACGTCGGGCGGCAATGCCGACGATGTTGTTGCTGCACTAGCCGATGTTAGCCATGTTGTTGTTGACGAGGTACATGAGCGCAGTTTGGATACTGATTTCTTACTCGTTTTACTACGTCAGATCTTGCGAAAGCGGAAAGATCTCAAAGTCATCTTGATGAGCGCTACTCTCGATGCTGCTGTGTTTGAAGCGTACTTTAAGGAGGTCGGGCCGGTGGGCCGTGTTGAGATCGAAGGCCGCACCCATCCTGTGACTGACTACTACGTCGACGACGTTGTGCATTTCACTGGATTCAAGGGGTATGGAACAGGGGATGAAGAGGCCATCGAGGACAAGTCTTTTTCTGCAAACCTCCGGAGTATTGGCTTTGGTATCAACTACGACCTCATTGCGGAAACTGTTCGTCACATTGATCGTCAGCTCGGTGATAAGGATGGAGGCATTCTCATCTTCCTTCCTGGTACCATGGAGATTGATCGCACACTTCAAGCGCTCAGTCAGTTCGCAAACCTCCACGCATTGCCTCTACATGCGTCACTCATGCCTGTTGAGCAAAAGCGTGTCTTCCCTCCCGCTCCCCACGGCAAACGTAAAGTTATCGCATGTACCAACGTCGCAGAAACGTCGATTACGATTGAGGATATCGTTGCTGTTATCGATACGGGTAGGGTCAAGGAGACGAGCTACGACCCACAAAACAACATGGTTCGCCTAGCCGAAACCTGGGCTTCCAGGGCGGCATGCAAACAGCGGCGAGGTCGAGCAGGCCGTGTCCGAGCAGGTGACTGTTATAAGCTGTATACACGTAATGCCGAAGCCAAGATGATGGAGCGGCCAGACCCTGAGATTCGACGTGTGCCACTCGAGCAGATGTGTCTATCTATCAAGGCGATGGGTGTTCAGGATGTCTCAAGCTTTCTTGCTTCAGCGCTCACACCACCAGAAAGCACAGCGGTGGAGGGTGCAATCCGATTACTCTCACAGATGGGTGCGATTACCGACGACGAACTGACCGCTCTTGGTCGCCACATGTCCATGATCCCGGCGGATCTTCGTCTGGGCAAGCTTCTTGTTTACGGCGCAACCTTCGGTTGTCTTGAAGCTGTGTTGACCATCGCGGCTGTCCTGACCGCTCGCAGTCCGTTTATATCACCACGAGAGCGAGACCAAGAGACCCGAAACGAGTTCGACCACCTACGCGCATCTTTCTCAAACAACCAAGGAGACTTGCTTGTAGATCTTCGAGCTTACGAACAATGGGCTGCATTGCGCAGTAAAGGCATGTCAACACGAGACCTTCGTTTCTGGTGTCAAGACAACCGCCTTTCTCCTCAGACCATGTTCGATATCGCTTCCAATCGCACGCAGTACCTCTCGTCTCTCAAGGAAATCTCCTTTATCCCAACGCACTACTCTTCTCTCAATCCTTCCACACATGGGTCATACAACAAGCACAACGCCAACGACGCACTCCTCCGTGCGCTCATCGCTGGGTCTTTCAACCCACAAATCGCACGCATCCAACTCCCTGACAAAAAGTTCGCCGCTGGAATTGCCGGTGCCGTAGAACTTGACCCCTCAGCCCGCGAGATCAAATACTTCAATCAGGAAAACGGACGTGTCTTTGTTCATCCTTCATCCACGCTATTCGCCAGTCAGACATTCCCGCATAATGCGAGTTTCGTTGCGTACTTCAATAAGATGGCTACAAGTAAAGTTTTCATAAGAGATATCACGCCTTTCAATGCATACAGCTTGTTGTTGTTTGCTGGTGAGATCAAGGTTGATACTCTTGGACGCGGACTGGTGGTAGATGAATGGATACGGTTGAGAGGGTGGGCTAGGATCGGAGTACTGGTTAGTAGGTTGAGGGGTATGTTGGATAACGTGCTTGAGGGTATGGTGAAAGAACCTGGGAAGGGAGTCAGTGGAAAACAAAGCGAAGTCATTGACATTGTTCGATGGATGGTTGAGCGGGATGGATTAGATGCTTAGACGACCTGCTTAGCTTTAGATGAAATTGGTATAACGTGCAGTCTGCCTTGATTCGTTGGCAAAGACGGACATGATAATGGAGCAAGCTTTCTCCGCTAGGCATAGCCTATGCTGAGTGCCACACAACCTCAGTCCGCGCCGGTCTTCTTTGTGCCATCCAAAACATGCGCCTCCATTGTTCCTTCTGGCCACAATGTCGGTCCTGCAGCCGTATAGTTCGTAATCCTACTCCAAAACTCTGGTATCAGCACGCCCGTTGAATTCCACTGGTATCCACCCGGAAATTTGATCGTCGGGCCCAGAACACCCACACCACTGCCCACGACATTGATCTGCGCACAAGCAATATAGAATTGGTAGTTATCTGGTTTATGTGCTGCGTGGAGCGCGAGACCTTCGGCGCGGAGCAGATATTCGCCTGATGGTGTTTCAGAAGGAAGCTTGAAGTTGAACGTTCGCGCGTTGTGGGTTGCCCATTTGAGGATGCCGTCGCTGGCGCCGTAGCTCGAGTTCAAAGAATAGGTCAAGCTGTAGATCTTTGTCCAGTCGCCTGAGCCATCGTACTCAGCGGCAGGGCCTGGCGCTCTAGATAGGTAAATCTGTTGTGGTCCAGGGTGGCCGAAAGTATCCTTGACTGCGAAGCCTAGCATATCGCCAGCAGCAACGGTGTAGGTTTTGGTGTTGATTGCAACACCAGATTCTGCACCGGAGTTGCAGCGCATATATATGGAATTGACGTCTTGAAGAGGGTAGTTGGAATTGTTGGTTTTGCGAACGTATTCATATGGTGAGCCAATAATCTCGCCATTAACGATTATACGGTCGTAGTTCCAGTGTGCGAGACATGTCGATGCGCTTAGTAAAGGACAAACTATCAAATTGGAGAGCTTCATTGCGATTGTTGTGTTGAACATAGAACAGCTATCTGTGGCTCTCTTATACTGTGTACTTGGACATCTGGTCATGAGGCTCGGGAATCGTTGTACCGACATAGATGAGTATAGATAGTGTTTTCGGTCAGGATCCGGGAATATGTGTCGATCTCCAGGATAATGCCAGGTTATTGATTGTTTTGCCGGTAGTGCTCAAGCGCGTAGATTGATGTTGGCCTAGAGAGCAAATGAACATAGAAAGACCATTCTGCATAAATCCTTCAAGCTTCGTGCAAGGGTCTATCAGAGTAGGCGATGGTTCGCCATGCTGATGAAAAATGATTGCAAATTTCAGCGATGCGCTCAATTACTGATCGTACTCATTGTGGCTTTAGGCAACGACCTTGTGCAGCCATAGCAGATGTCTCTTCTGGCATGTGTAGACTCGAAGTCATCCCCATCTTGCTGATCACCACCCCAGCCATGGATGCCAAATCGACCGCCAGGTACAGGCATACTACACAAACTGCATTTTGGGTCTGAAAGTGCATCGGGTCGAGCCTCAAGCTTGCTTGTTGTGCGTACGACATTAGCAACGATACTTGGAAAGTTCTCCTCGACCGATTCGAAGTACTGCGTCATGAGATCGTCAATAGTGGTATTCTTTGAGCTTGTTGATGCTTGTGTGGCTCCTGATGAGGTCTCATGAACAAGTGATGATAGACCAGGATCGGCCATGTTGATGTAAGATACTAGCTCTTTCTTTAGGACATCTCGAAGCGGGTAATGGAAGTTGAGATCAAATGGCGACGATCCGTCGGAGACTTGCCAAGGCAGAGAGAAACCTCTGCCCTTCGCGGTCTCAGTAAGTGTCTTTTGAGCGAGTCTGGTGGTGCTGTCACCCCAGAGAACACTTTCGCAACCAGTCGATTTGGCATATTCTACGATCAGCCTTGTTCGAAGGGTAGACAACACGTCTGCACGAGCAGTTGCCGATGTGAGCGAATTAATCATGCGAACGAAATGCTCCTCAGGGCTCCAGCCTACGGTTTCCTCGGTCTGTGGCACCAGAGACCGGATTGAGGCATCGTCTGGGACCATGCGAAATACATCGTGCAACGGCAGTGAGGCATAGTGATGGTCCGGGTATTGTTCGCGAGCCTCGTCGAGCAGCTGAGCAGCCTGCACTTTCTGCTCCGGATCTTCGATATATATCGCGCTGATCTCAAATCCGGTCCGGCCAGTCTTGCTCTTTTGCGTCTTTAGATGCAGATCCAGTATATGAAGGAGAGTTGTAGATGAGACGCCGAACGACAGGGGTACTAGAATCCTACGTTGCTGCTCGGCTCCAAAATTCACACGAAACGACTCCAAGCGCTTGATGCATTTTGTATGCACATAGCGGGCAAAACAGTCACTGCACAAATTTAGCAAATTCTTCTTCCCCTCTAGGTGGCGTAGACTGACTGGCAAAGTGGCTCAGAGCGCACAACGAGGACGGAAATATTGTCTTTGCATCGCCTGCAAGGCTCACCAGAGGTGCCAGTTATGTGTTTGCCTGGCATGATGTGCGTGTGTCTTGTTTTTTTTTGGGGGAGGTTATTGGTGAAAGGGCTTGGTAGGGCTGACTGGTCGGCTGTTTCGGTGATGGTTGCCCATTGAAGGCTCCAAGGCTGCGCCACATTCTAGGAAGCGCGCTAAGAGCTACCGGGAAGGCGGACTCGTAGGTGACGAACGCGCAAGCTAAACATCGACAACTAAACACGACCCTACACCCATGACCCGTCTTGGACCAGGAATTGACGGAAAGACACTATCGCCGACTCGAATCGAACCGCGTCCCTCCGCCTGAAGCGCTGTAAACCCCCAGCCGTCAGCTCCGCCAGCTGGCCTCACATCGCGGCAAGATGAAGGCACGGCTGCGCAACCTCGCTCTACTGCTGTTAACTACTGTGACAGCAGTAGCAGCAATGGACGTGACGCTGTCTGACAAGGAGACCCAAAAATGCAGGTATGAGGAAACTGCCGGGCCATGAGTTACACATGGACAGCATGCTGATCCAAAGTCCAGTGGCATGTACAGCAAGAAGTCGTGGGGAGGCAAGGGCGACCCCTTCATACTTGTGAAATTCATAAAAGACCCGAAGAAGAATGAAGGAATCAAGGACCAGACTGTCAGTGTCGTGGTCTGGGAATGGAAAGACACTTTGCTTCTGGGCGCACCTTCCGATTTGCCTGTGAACGATGTATGTGGGCCTTGCATGGTATCTGGATGATCCAACTGACAAGTCTCTCAGAAAAACCGCCATTACATTTGCGACGACGAATCGATCAAATTAAACCTCTGCAACGGCACACATAAAGGCGAATGGGTACTCGCGGAAGACGTCGAGAACCTCTGGCAAATGCCTATCAGGACCGAAGCTATCGACCTGAACGACCCGAAAGCAATCAAGTACCCGACTTCCACCGCAGAGACCAAAGTACCAATCAAAACTGGCTATTACTGTGTGGCTGCGAATGCGCAAGACAAGCAATTGCAATTCGAGGCTATCGTGACTTTTCGGAACGCTTATGGAGAGCTGCAAGCCGCCCAGATCGCAAAGCTGCCTTTTTACGGCGGAATCACCATTGTGTATTTTGTTGTGTTGGCATTCTGGGGCTTCCTCTACTTCCAGAACCGTCACGATATTCTTGCCGTCCAAAACTACATCACTGCTATCCTAGTATTTCTGGTCATCGAGATGCTGATGACTTGGGGCTATTACGACTACCAGAACCGCCACGGTAACAACGTCGGCACCAAGGCACTCATGATTGTCGTCGCCGTACTCAACGCTTTCCGTAACTCCTTCTCCTTCTTCCTGCTCCTGATCGTATGTATGGGATATGGCGTTGTCAAGCCTTCCCTCGGCAAGACAATGACGGTCGTCCGCTGGCTTGCTGTAGCACACTTCGTCTTTGGCGTAATTTATGCTGTAGCATCACTTACTGTTCGTCCCGATGACGCCGGACCTCTAGTTCTGTTGGTCATCCTCCCACTCTCAGCCACACTTACGGCGTTTTACATCTGGACCCTGAACTCGCTCAACCTTACGATGAAGGATTTGATGGAGCGAAAGCAGCACGTCAAAGCTACCATGTATAAGAGGTTATGGTGGTGCATTTTGACGAGCATTATTGTCATTTTCGGTTTCTTCTTCATCAACAGCTTCACCTTCGCCGGAGCTTCGACCCCCGACTTTGCTCCGACACACTGGCAAACACGATGGTTCGTGCTTGACGGCTGGCTAAATCTTGTCTACTTGGCGGATGTGTGTTTTGTTGCGTACATGTGGAGGCCAACAGCCAACAACCGGAGATTTGCCATGAGTGATGAGGTACGTTCATACAACTGTACCATTTATACACTCTTACTGACGACTCTAGATTGCCCAAGATGATGAAGGTTTCGAGATCGCATCCCTCAGAGATTCTCTTGATGAAGAGGAAAGAGGCTCAGATCAGCCTCCATCCTACGACCCAGCGCAGAGGTCGAACAACAACGCGCGCGATGTGTCGCCATTGCCGGCACCACAAGCACAGAAGCCCATTGTTCCTCCCAGGGAGAGTCTTGATGGCGATACCATCTTCGCTGTAGGCGAGGACGACAAGTGGAGTAGTGACGAAAGTGACGAGAGTGACGAGAGTGACGACGAGTCAGGGCCGGCGAGCCCAAAAGAGGGCAATAGCGAGCGTTCGAGGTTAACGGGTCGTAAGAACGACTAGTTCTTGGCTTGACGCGACCATACTTCGAATTATTGAGCAGCGGCGTTGAATGTCCGAGAACGCTTTTCAAATCGATAGCGTGTGCTCATATTCTGTCTTGTAGATTAGGCGTTTCTAGCGTTCTGAATAGTGATTTTAGTTCGAGGAGTCAGATCTGGCATATTCGATCACCTTTTAGTCTAGTCTTAACTCCGCAAATGCCGCATGCCGTCAGAGCTCTTTCTTGTCATCACGTCCGTCATCTCACACCGGGAACCTGGTCACCATCATGGCTGCCTTATCGCTGGGTGCATCACGAAAGACGCCCAAATATATATGCGATGCTTGCAGGACGAATGTGCGCTGTCTGCCCAGACCCGCCGCCGACGCGCACCGAACATTTAGCACCGCGTCGTCTTCAAACGACAGAATCTCAACGCGACCGATAGCCCCTTCGTTCTTTCGCAATCGAGCCGACATTCGACCATCAACCATTAGGAATGCTCGTGAAAAATCTTCGGGACGCCCTTACTCGATAGAGGCCTCTCCGCAAGCTGCTGGCTCGAACTTCGCAGCGCTTCCGCATCGCCGCCTTATCTCCCTTACTGGCCCCCATACTGTGAAGTTTCTGCAAGGGCTCATTACGAATAAAGTCGAAGAAAGCCGCCAATCACCCTTCTACGCAGCCTTTCTCGATGCGCGCGGCAGAGTGTTGTGGGATGTGTTTGTCTGGGTGTGGCCAAAGTTGGTGCAGGAGAAGGAGCCTTGGGCATGCTACATTGAAGTTGATGAGAGTGAATTCGAGTCTCTGAAAAAGCATCTAAAGAGGCACAAACTCCGGAGCAAGGTGCAGATTTCGGATGTGAGTGCAGATGAGATAGGCGTGTGGGCGGCCTGGGGCTCAGAAGCCGGGCAACGCAGATCAGAAAGTATAATCGCCGAAATGAGCGATCCACGCTGCCCAGATATGCGTCGTTATCTCGCGAGCGCAAATACAACAACGGTAATAGAGGGAGCCGAGCCAGTGGACGTACGAGAATACCACCTCCAACGCTACAGGAATGGCATACCCGAAGGACCACAAGAGATAGCAAGAGAGAGCGCATTGCCAATGGAGTGCAATATTGATCTCTCGCATGGTATAGACTTCAAGAAAGGTTGTTACGTTGGCCAGGAACTTACCATTCGCACAAAACACACCGGCATCGTCCGGAAGCGCATCTTGCCTGTCCATATCGACAACCCCGGCAAAACAGCTGCCCTACCGGAACATG